AGTAGAATAAAGTAGCCCTGCATTGATAGTATCATAGATAGTTCCAATAGAAAGGATTCCGAGACTATTTGGTTCAATCCCATTATTTTCCAATGAGCAAACTGAGACAGGCTTGTGATTACATTTAGAAAATGACTTGAATCCACGTCTTCTAACATTGAGCTTGGAATTATCATTGAGTTGCTTCTTTTTGGAATCTGGACACTGAAGTTCTATTTTTGGACACTCTCAGTGCCTAAACAGCATCATAAACAACCCCCTATCCCATTGATCTTTACCTCTCTTTTCAGTGTCTATTTTCTCTTCCCTCACTACCTAGCTCACCCCAAGAGTTTGGAAAAAACTACCAGCTGTTTATGTGGTGGTTGGTTAAAGCCGTGAGTTAGTTCAGTTCACTTCAAAATTAATTGCTGAATATCAGGATACTGCATGTGAGTGTGATAGGAATTGTACTATAGGTAAAGAGGAAATGAAGAGAATTACAGCTTCTTAAAATGCTGACAGTAACAGTCAGATCAATAAATAATGTCCTAAATAATTTTGTAGTTATTTAATACAGTTCAAAGTCCAGTGTCTTGATATTTAATGAGAGATTCATGAAGACAGAATATCCTTAAGGTATGAGGTATCAAAATTTTGACTTTGGATTTCGACAGTATTGAAATATTTCAATATATTTCAGAAGAGGTTTATATGTTTGGTGCTACATAGATCTTATTGCAAAGATACCACAACTGCTACAAATTCAAAGGACTGATTCTGTGCCAATTTATTAATTTAGAGTTTATTGTCACTACCAAAGAGTAAGTTTCTTGAGTAGCTGATGTCTGAACCAAGAAATAACATATTTTACATAAGGAGTTAATAAATGTATGAATGATTGTTATGCCTTTAACTATTCTTCTCTATAGATTATCCACTAAGACTTAGAAACTTTTACTTGTAAGAGCAAAACAAAATCATCTGAGGAAAATGGAGTTGTTAAAGGAAGGTCTAGTGTGATCTTTAGAAGAGGAACTCACTAGATACTTACTAAACGTATACTGTGCGTAAGCCACTGTTGAAGGTATGATGATGAAGGTGTGCTCCGTGACATCGTGGGTGTGTTCATAGTCCTGTCACCATTTCATTACAGGTGCTGGTCTCCTGAGCTCTCAGCTCTGATACAAGCCTTACAGAAGAGTAAATGGGAGAGAGTAACAATGTGACAGAATTTCTCCTCCTGGGCCTCACTCAGGATCCCAATGGGCAAAAAGCATTATTTGTAATGTTTTTACTCACATACATTGTGACCATGGTGGGCAACCTGCTCATCCTGGTGACTGTTATCAGCAGCCCCTCCTTGGGCTCCCCCATGTACTTCTTTCTGGCCTCTCTGTCACTCATGGATGCTACTTATTCCACTGCCATTTCACCCAAATTGCTTGTAGACCTACTCTGTGATGAAAAGACAATTTCCTTCCCAGCATGCATGGGCCAGCTCTTTGTAGAACACTTGTTCGGTGGAGCTGAGGTCTTCCTTCTGGTGACGATGGCCTATGATCGCTATGTGGCCATCTGTAAGCCTCTGCACTATTTGACCATCATGAATCGATGGGTTTGCATCCTTCTGTTGGTGGTGGCCTGGGTTGGAGGTTTTGTGCACTCTGTGGTCCAAATTGTCTTTGTGTACAGTCTCCCCTTCTGTGGC